ACTGTTAAGGTCATCAGACTCACAGTGACTTTCAGCAGTCCATTGCATAGGTAATCATCTTCTTTGGCCTGTCCAATGCATAGGTAATCATCTTCTTTGGCCTGTCTAATGCATAGGTAATCTTCTTCTTTGGCCTGTCCAATGCATAGATAATCATCTTCTTTGGCCTGTCCAAGGAGACCCAAACCTGCAGATGGTGGTCATGCATCCCATCCCCCACCTCCTACACAGGTGGCCCGCGGGGCACGCGCCCCCCCCAGCGTGGGAGGCCTGTGGGAGACGTGTGGCCCCCCAAGCACGGGCGGCCTTTGGGGGCGCGACCCCCCACCCCACCGCACGGGCGCTCGGCTGGTGTGTTGCCCCTCTTGTGTGGGTATCCAGCGGGTGCCCACTTCCCCCACAGCCACCATCCTGGCTCCAAGAATTCTCTCCAGACCAAGTCCACCTTGTGGCAGTGTGGTGGCTTCACTGTATCAGTCTTGAGGAGGGCGGGTGCCCAGCATCCATCCTGGGTGAGGGAATCCATTCGTTCTGGCTGTGGAAGCCTCATGGAGCTACAGTGGCTGTGCAGCGCAGCGATGGCTCTGCAGGGGGGGTTGGGAGCCATGAGACTCACCCATTTCTCCTTGGGAATCCTTGAATTCCTATTGTCGAGCCTCAATCTTCACTGAGGGCCAGTCATCAACTGTTTAAGTGTTCAATTATCAGTAAGCCAAAGTCTGTGGAAGGCCATAATGGCCCTGCTTTAAGTGGCTCGCTGCTCCTGCAGCTCACCACGCTGTCTCTGCCTCCGCCGCCATCTTGGATCTCCCTTATTTGCTTTTTTCATGAGATCTAGAAGGAGTTGAGTGAGACTAAGCATATTTTCAAACCTAATCCAGCAAAAATTTAGAAGTACCCTGTTTTCTTCATGCCTGAATGAAGGGCTTTTGCGGTTTGTTGTTGGGGTTTGTTGGTTGTTTTATTTTCCACTTATTTTCTCCCTCAAGAGCAGAAAACAGCACATAAGGGCACAGGGCTCTGAGTGTCTTTCTGAAAGGACCATCGTGAGTGAGGATAGCACAGCCCATGGTACCTTTAGAGCCACACCAGCAGCAAGAGGTTCATTTATTCACTGTTGACTCACAGACTTTATTCACAGTTGTGGTACTGAGAAAAGGGCTTCTTAGGGAAATAAGTTGGAGAGTAGGGGAGACAAAGAATATCAACTAGTGCAAATCCAGGTTGTAGCCCAAAAGTCCCAAGGCACAATTAATTACTCAGTTAGTCCAGGCTCCAGTTCTAGTTAAGTAGTTAGCTTCACCTTCCATCATCTGGCAAGAACAGCAAAAAACCTTAAACTGAAGCCTTTATCTCAGGACTCCTCTGGTTGCACCTTGCCACTCTTTCACCACAGCAATACCACAGTCTCTCCACCACGATCACCAGGATCTCGACACCTTTATTCAAGTTAGACATATCTGTCTCCTGAACGTATATACAGGCTCAAACCTATTCCTTTTTTTTTCTTAATTTTCGGGTTTTTTATTTAACCTAACCTTCAGGGGTTCAACCAAGACTTCCCTGATAACTTATAATTAACAATACTTTATCCTGTTATAACTGAAGTATATCACTTACACAATGTACCGCACATTTTTGCTACTTACTTTTAACACAATACTATATACTATCTTTCATTTTAATTGCTTCACATGTATAACTTACCAGAATGTTAAGTCTCTAAGAGTTAGAAAGCAAATTCCTCACGCAGTACCTAGAACAATCCTTGAACACATTAAAGATACTCCTTAACTCCCTAAATGCTAGTTATTCCAGGAAGTATATCCTTGAGGCAGAACTCATGATGATGATGGCCATTCAGATGAATAAGAATTATTCTAAAAATGAATCTCTCTTTATTTTTTGGAAAAATTTACTTGATAATAATTTTTACATTCTTTTCTTTTTCCTGTCTTTGTTTTGATGACAGGCTGTTGATGATGTGAAGAAAGGTTATATCAAAGCAGAGGAAAAGTCATACCAGTTACAGAAGCTGTATGAACAAAGGAAAATGGTCATGGTAGGTTTTTATTTCCTGTAGTCCCTTTTAAAAAATGCCCCTTCTCTTTTTTTTTTTTTTTTAAATGCCCCTTTTTTATAACTTGTTGCTCCCATCATTTTTAAACATGTTGCAGTCTGGTCAGTAACTCACATATTAAAAAAGGGCAGAGAGGATGGACCCTGAAACAGAATCAGTAGACTGATATAGCACACAAGAAGTTTATGCTGCTATACAAAGTATGTAACTTTATAATAATTAATAACTAAAAAATATGCCTTTGATAAACATCCTTTAAAATATGCAAGACATTACAATAGTAATAAAGATAAATTTTATGAGAATTAATATTTAGATTGATAACAGTAGAAATTATTTTAGTTCTGCCAAGTTTGCATTCTCAGATACTCTAGCCACATTTCAAGCAATGTGGCAATTAGGTACACTATTCTACAGTACAGATGCAGAACTTTTCATCATTGTAGAAAGTTCTACTTGACAGATCTATTTAGACTGTTACTTAAATATTTTAAAATTAGTTTCCACCAGTGTGTATCTGCTGTAAACACAGAGATGAAAAAGAAATATATAAAGAACAAAATCTTCCACTCTAGCATTTTAAAACTTCTTTCTTGAAAAATTTACGTACAGTTGACAATTTTTTCAATTATAACATTTACTGATTTCACATAAGGTGTTGATAGGTTACTAAAATTTATTTTTTACCTTTTGTGCTGTTTTTTAAGGAAAATGTTCATGCTTTGAAATTAATTAGGTCAGAATCAGATATGTACAAGAAAGCTATTGAATGTAGCCTGTAATCTTATGTCTGCATGAGTTATTTTGTAACTTATATGATGAAAAATAGTAAATCCTTTTGCCTTAGAGAAAAGATCAAGTTCCTTCTTACCTGTGCTATACATGCCACTGGAATGAAATAAGCAATTTTGAATCTTTATACCTAATTTTAGCAGAACATTGACTGATACAAGAAATAGCAAAAGAATGTGGAAGGAATACACAGAATCACTATATCAACAGCATTAACCATTTCAGGAAGTAGCATGTCATCATGAGCCAGTGTTAACAAGGGAAGTTCAAAGAGCTTTAAAGGTATTGGCAAAGAATAAGACCCCAGGAATTGACATGTTTCAGCAAGCAGATGCATCCCTGAACCTACTCACTAACATAAGCCAAGAAATTTGGAAGAGAACTACCTGGCCAACAGACTGGAAGAGATTCATATTTGTTCCCATTCCCTAAAATGGTAATTCAAATGAATGTGAAACTCCCAACCATCATTAATATCACATGCAAGTAGTGCCTTGCTGAAGATTATTTTAAAATTACTAAAATAAAAGATCAACAGGAAACTTTCAGAAATTCAAGTTGGATTCAGAAAAGATCATGGCCGAAGGGATATCACTGATATCAGATGGGTCTTGACTGAAAGCAGAGAATACCAGAAAGTTGTTTCCTTGTGTTTTATTGACTATGCAAAGGCATTTGACTCAGGGTTATAACAAATTATGACTAACATTGAGGAGAATGGAAATTCCAGAATACATAATTGTGCTCGTGCAAAACCTATATTACATAATCTGAGAAGCTGTAGTCTAAACAGAAAGAACAAAGGAACACTGCATAGTTTAAAATCCAAGATTTTTATGAGGCTTTTTATCTTTTCTCCATACCTATCCACTCTGTGTGCTGAGCAAATCATTCAAGAAGCTAGACCTTATGCAGAGGAATATGGCATCAGGATTGGAAGAAGACTCAGCACCCTGCATTATGCTAATGGCACAACCTTGCTTGCAGGAAGTGAAAAGGATTTGAAGTACTTTTGACAAAGGTCAAAAAATGTAACCTTTGGGGAGCTCTGGTGGCCTAGTGGCAAGAAGCTGCACTGCAATCCCAGAAGTATACGGTTCGAATCCACCACATGCTCTACTGGAAAAGGAGGGACAATCTCCTCCTGTACCAGTCAGATCTGATTTGACGGTACACACAAAAAAAGTAATAAAATAGCTCTTTTCCGGTTACTGCGGCGCTAGCAACCATGAGCAGCAAAGTCTCTCGCGACACCCTCTACGAGGCGGTGCGGGAAGTCCTGCACGGGAACCAGCGCAAACGCAGAAAGTTTTTGGAGACTGTGGAGCTGCAGATCAGTTTGAAGAACTATGACCCTCAAAAGGACAAGCGTTTCTCGGGACCGTCAGGCTTAAGTCCACCCCACGCCCCAAGTTCTCTGTGTGTGTTCTTGGGGATCAGCAGCACTGTGATGAAGCCAAGGCTGTGGATATCCCCCACATGGACATCGAAGCGCTGAAAAAACTCAACAAGAATAAGAAACTGGTCAAAAAGCTGGCCAAGAAGTATGATGCCTTTTTGGCCTCTGAAT